TCCCCAAGCAAGTGCTGTCACCCTCTGATTCCTCCGAGGGGGGGGGGACACTTTTTTTTTGGGGGGGGGCGCGCAGGGCACAGAACTTGTATCCTGGCCCTGGTGCAAAAGTTTCATCAAATCACAGTGTCTGATGGGAACGTATCTGCCAATGAAACCAATGTTTCCTGTTTCCCTGCCTGCCTCTGCCTTGCAAAAGTACTTCGGGCCACCCCATCCCCAGATTGGTCTGGACGGAAGATGTCCATTGCGTAGCATCTCCAAGTTACAGCTGTTCCTATCCCTCCACCTGGCTAAGCCTCCAGTCCAGACGTGCATCTCGATTTTTGGACCATCCTCTCCCCTGGCCCTCACAAACGCAATCTTGCCCCGCTCAGTTCTGTCCACAAAGCCGCCGCACAGCTGAGACCACGTCAGCCTCCTCCGGGTCCCCCTCCTCCAGCGTATCCAACACAAGCTTCTTGTCTTCACGTCCAATGCAACCACTGACCCTTCCCAGCTGACTTGTCGTCCCTCACCTCAGAGAAGCCTGTGATCCCAACACCCCCTTGATACATTTTCAGACAAGCCCCTTTGAGCTTTCTCCCCACAGGCCCTCATACTTGGAAGAGCTACCTGTAAAGACCCACAAAACTAACTCACTTATCCTTCTCCTCACTCCTTTGCCAGGGGGGTCTACAAAAAACCCAACCACCACTAGACAGTGCTGATACCACAGTCTAACACTGACCAACATGGTCTCCCTCTGCTCCCCTGCCTGGATTTGAGCTTCTTGGGGAAAGAGCCCATTTTGTTTTTGTGTGTTTGTACAGCGCCTAGCACTGCTCACTGACAGAGGCCCTGTTAATTATTTGTATTACCCTAAGGAGTTGTCCAAGTCTTGAACCATTCTCAGGGCTCTTCTAAGAGCTGTGATGTCTCTGGGTGAGTGACCACCGCCAGCGAGATGACAACCTTGAGACGAGGAAGCCACTTTTTTTTTTAATTAATTAATCCATTCACTGTACATACAAAGTATTAAAAAAACACCCAGACCTCTCAAGGGAAGCGACACTTTCTGAACAGCTGGTTCGGTCATGGAGACATGCAGAGTTATAATGGACACACCAGAAAGGACCCGGTGGGTTTATGCCTCTGTAGCCAGCCTTTATCCTTCTCCAGCTGTGTCATCTCACCGGCATGCCCTGGGAGGGCTCACAAGTGATTATGCAAAGGCCACCTGGTCTCCGCTGGAGATTTAGAGCGTCTGTTCCCCATGGGAACAAGTGGTGTGGAACTGCTCGGCTCCACAATTTCACCCTCTGCTCAGGCCTAAAGGACTCAATTATCCATCAGCTTCCCACAGGTCTTGAGATACCACAGAAGACCCCAAACCAACCCACTGTCTAATGTCTGGGACAAAGATCTGGGACCTTTGTTCTCCAGTGGGGGTAAGGAGCTGCCTATGCTTCTCAGCTTGGGGGACATGGCTTCAGGAGAACTGTGGGCGAGCAAGAGAGATTGGGGGGGAGGGGTACAGCTGCCTCCAACTCAACCATAGGACCACAGGGTTTTGTCCCGCCAGCCTCTGTGGAAAAGCCGAGGATGGTCTTCTGCCCATGAGGTATTCAGACCTGTCCTGAGCTAGGGTTTGCAGAAGCTTCTAGGGAGAACGACCCCCCCCCCCTCCAGTGTTGTGTCTAAAATAGACAGTGTCTCTGCTTTAGCTCAGGGTCGGTCATCACTTCACCCCTTCGAGACACAGGCCAGAAGATGAGATTAGATTCTCAGAGTGTGTGTGTGCGCGCATCAAAACCCTTCAGAAGGCAGGTGGCAGATTCAGGGGGGCTGAGGTACCCCCCTATCCTGCCTGTAGTAGCTGGCTTTCCCTGGTCCCCTTCCTAGGCTGTGGCAGACCTACAGAGGACATGGGAAAGGAAAGGAGGCAGCTACATGTGGGATAGAGAAGACCAGGGAGAAGGCAATAGGCTTGGTGGAAGAAGACCAGAGGAAAAGGTGACTTGAGGGGGTGGAGTGGAGCCTGCTAATTAAGCGTGTGGCAAGGAGGACCCAGGAGGGAAAAGCGTGTAGCAGAGAGGGTGTGGAGGCTAGGGCCGGGAAGAGGAGAGCCGGGGGTTATTTCAGCAACCACCACCCCAGCAGGGCTCCCAGCCCAGAGAGCAGGGGAAGCCCGGCTGCCTGGGCGGGGCCAGCAGCATTGCACAGGTCTGTCTCGCAGCAGGTCCGATTGTAGCTGACCTCGAAGACGGTGTCCTTCTGCTCCGTCATGTTGCAGGTCTCGCGGGTCCGGCTGCAGCCGTACTTGGAGAAAAGCGGGACCTTGCCTGCAGGGAGAGACCAGGGCAGCCGTGGGCAGGGGTTCAGGATGCCAAGGTTCAATTCCTGGCTTGAGGAGGGATTCCTGTTCTATCCCCAGCTCTGGGCAGGGGAAGTGGAGGTGGGAGGCTCTTGGAAAGTGATCCCACCCCCCACAAGGTGGTGGATCAGCAGGATTTGAACCCTGGACCTCTGACTCTGCCCTCCACTCCTTGAGCTAGAGAATAGACATAGCACTAGCTAGCAGTAGTAGGTTGTTATTCTCTAGGGGAGAAGTCACAGGAGGGGCAGGGACAGCAGTCAGGAGGTGTTTTGCCTGTAAGTTATAGTAGCTTTATCCACCACTGACACAGAATCCAAACATCTCCACCAGCAGATCCCAGCAGCAGGAAGCCATGTGAGATGGGGCAGGAGGGTATCTGAGGTGGACACCTTTAGTACCATCCTCTAACCCCCTTCTCCTATCCCCCTGCCCTGCTCAGAGATGGGAGCAAACCCCACGGGACCTCTCTGGACAGTTGGAGCTGTCCTTCAGCCGTTCCCTCCAGATCCAAACGCTGGCTTCTAGGAAAACCCTGGATTTGTTCGGTAACTTCAAGAGCAAAGGGTGCCTCCTTGGGACATTCCCCCTGTTCTCCATCCCCCATCTGGAGGGCACCCCCATTTCGAGAGAGAGATCCCCCCTTTCTCCTCCCAAGAGAGCTCTCCAACCTCAGGACTCTAGTTCTTGATGGAGAAATTAGGAGACCTCCATCATCTTGTGTTCCTCTCGTCTTGCAGGAGTTGAGTCTCTGGAGCCCTCACCCCCATGCAAGGTCCCTTGGAGACCCAGCCACCCTTGGAGAGACCCCCTTGAGAGGCAACCAAGGCTCGTGCAAAGAAAACCTGCCCTTTCCTTTGGAGGGATGGTCGTCCACCGGGATCGGACCTGGGCATGTGGGCGTCTCCTGCCTAAGGTGCGGCCGTGCTTAGGTACCTACTGCGTCAAGGGATTCATCCAGCTCGGTTCCTCGTCTCCAACAGCATCCAGTTGCTGCAGAATAAAGTCCCGCCCCCCTGAGAACTCCCCCTAGAGGGGGTGTGTGCGTCTGCCGCTCCTCCCCGTAGATTCAGAGGAGCCCCGGCTCCAAGCTGGGGGCTCCCTTGGACTTACCAATGTAGGCCTTGGTGGTCTCACAGACTTGCTGCCCCTGCGCCTTGCAGGGGCTGCGGGAGCGGAAGCAGAGCTTGCCCACCTGGAACTCGCAGACCCTGCAAACGAGGCCGTGAGCTGCATGGAAAGACAGGAGGTCAGTCAGCGGAGAGTCGCTCCAAGCAGGGGGCTGGGAGCCAGGACGCCTGGGTTCTAGCCTCCGGCTCTGGGAAGGGAGTGGGGGCTGGTGGTTAGAACAAGGGAGGGGGCTGGGAGCCAGGACGCCTGGGTTCTTCCCCCCCTCACTTTGAGCCACATTCACCGCCCCAGAGAGAGCGAAGCCACTGGAGCGAGGTATCTGGGTGCAGCTTGCAGTTGGTGTTTTCCTTGCGGGATTGGCAAAGTGCAAGGGGGTGGGAAGGACTCTGGCATCAAAACCCTGCACATGGGCGGCACCCCCCCCCCCACAGGGTGTGTGTGAGAGACTGGGGGGCGGGGCGGGCGGAGAACCAACCTCAGAGAAGCCCTGACTCACTCGAGCGACTTACCCAGCCCTGGCGACTGGGACACGTAGGAAGCTACCTAACCGCCGAGAGTGCCTCCTGCAGAGATGCGGCGGCTTCTGGGGTGGAGCACAGCTGGCTCCCCTCAGTTCCAGCAGAGAAATGCAGCTGCCTCTGGGGTGGAGTGTGGAAAGCACCCTGCAATCCTGGGGCGCAGATAATTACCTGCTCCATGGCCGGGGCAGGACCGGATCCTCAAGGGATCTTTGTTGCAGGCAGAATGGGGTTAGCCAGGCTGGGAGCCACCAGGGACTGGGGCACACGCCCCATATTCTGCTACCTGTATTGCCTAGCAGTGACAGCACACAGCTGGGGAGAAGGTCAGGACTCCTGGGTTCTACCCCTGGGAGGGGAGCGGGGGCTAGTGGTTAGAGCAGGGGGGCTGGGAGCCAGGACGCCTGGGTTCTAGCCTCCGGCTCTGGGAAGGGAGTGGGGGCGGGGGGTTGGAACAAGGGGGGGGGCTGGGGGCCAGGACGCCTGGGTTCTAGCCTCCGGCTCTGGGAAGGGAGTGGGGGCGGGGGGTTGGAACAAGGGGGGGGGCTGGGGGCCAGGAC